GTCTGTTGTATAAGTGTTGGTTCTGTTGTTGTTTACTGTGATTTTATTGGTGAACTTGACATTACTTCTTTGGACTGGTCAATATTTACAAATCAGATGTTGAAGCAAAAGACGCTTATTTTTCGGGAACACTATATTCTCCTAGTTCTTTTTCATGAGTCTGCGTGTGAATCTTTACGATATTTTGCCCTCGTGTTATTGAATTCGAGTTTTGATAAAAAAAAGATCTGTTGACATTTTAGTATTTTCATTGTTGTTTTAACCACTGTTATTGCTAAACATAACTATTTCCATAACATGATCGCGCTTCTTCGCTGTGTGTATGGGTGTTGGGAGGGGACAGATGGAATTTTACCACATGTTAGATCTCTGACTAAAGATAATTTAGTTCACTACACGAACTTTTAAGTAAAGAAAACGATTCATTTGTCTACAGGTGAACAACATTATGTTGGTGCATATCAATCTTAGTGAAATCAGTAACAATACTTTCCAGGAAAGAAACCTATTGTCTCATACAATATACTCAAAATTGCCTACATGTGATGTTTTCGAGGCCATGTCCTTCATGTCGCCTGTAATTTGGATGATTTTATTGTTGTGGGAACACTTTTTTTATAGGAATCACGCAATTCACAAACGACACCATTACAATGTCAGCATTCCATCTGTACTTCAAAGACGGCTGAATGATCAAAGACACACATTTATATTGTGTCTTTAGGTTTGTCATTCATCTCAACTTTGATCTGATCTTAGAATCGTTTTGATTGGATAAACGATTACCACGTGACAGTCATTATAATGTTTGCTTACGGGGCCCTTCACTTCTTACTGTGTAGTAAGAAGTTGCTGCAAATTTAATACTTATCTAAATTGCGACAAGAACTTTGCCTGACATGAGCTCACAGATATTATGTTTAGACCTCGAAAATGTTTCAGCGATGTCAAACAGTTAAAGAGCTAGGAGAGAAGTTACCAGACTTGCGAGAAAGAATTGACATTAGGTTTACCAAATTAAAAAAATATGTCAATTATTTGATAAATATACATGTACCTATGTTAAACAGTTTTTTGAATGTGATAAGATTGTGAGATGTGAACATCAGTAAGTGAATAACATGGTACTGGCGAACAACATTCAACCTATCTGGTGTTATTGGCTTTGTTCTTTTAAGGAGTGTCCATGTAAAAAATTTGTTCTTATTTTGTCCTCTTTCAATCGATAGAATTGAAGCTTGAATTAAGACATGTCGTTGACGACCACGACCACTCCACCACCACCACCACCAAAACCACCATCATCATCAGCATCGTCAACAACAAAAACAACAATAATAACAAAGAAAACATTGACATGTCAACAGAATCTTGATTCAAACGCCAATTCTATGAAGATATGATAAAATATTAACAATAGAAAGATTTTTACACAGGGAAATAAGACCACGTATTCCGGAAGGGTTAGCATTTTCTAATTCATCAACAACATCTGCCAAATCAATTTTGGTAAAGTTATGTCACTTTCCAACAGGAGAACAATTTAAAGTACAGCAGAACCATTAGGCATAAGTGCGTGCATGTAACACCACAACACACAAGGTATCACGCTACATTATCATTATTAATGCCGTAAAAAATTCCTATCATTTTCCTCAAACTGCATCTCTCAAAATCTTTCAGAGTGCAGGTGATATATCGTAAAGTATCTTAATAGCGGCGCCGCCCAGATTTTACAATTGTGGAAATACTGAACTAATGAAAAATATATATTTACATATAAATGCATTTTGGGGAATGTGAAGCTCCCTATCATAGGTTTGATGTTTGGATGGTCATAATATGATGTTTCAGTAATAAAGGTTGTAGTTCACAATTCACCTTTGTGCCTTTTGTGAAATTCTTTCGAGCGATAGCAACCTTAAAAGTTTTTTTTTTCAACTTTTTGAACTATAATCGAATGCTGCCTGGTATTTGATGTGTGCCTTTTGTAAATCATGTAGATCTATAAAGGATGTTTATGGCGCTGTATATCGGCCTTGTCATATTTCTCCAGTGTTTGATGACCGCTGACCATACCGACATAAAACACGTCAAGATTGATATTTAGTTGTGAAAGATACACTGAATGATAAATATATGTAACACAAGGTTAGTGTAAAGGCCATTAATTCTGTGAAATAAACCTTCCTTAGGAGTGAAACGGACACCGGGCTGAAATATACCACGATGGATTCAAATAGAGAGAATTCAAAATTGAAAATAAATATTCCTTTTTGTTGAAACGCGCACTTTACTGAAACTTAAGAACACGAATATAAAATAAGGACGACATTTTGTTTGACGCGAAACGGACATCGTGCTGAATATAAATAACACAGAACTGAGGTAGGGTGATTTTCGTACAAAACAATTTTTCTATGGGTGTGAAAAGGGCATCGCGCTGAATTTAAATAACAGAATTAAGGTAGAGTAATTCTCTTAATAAAACAAATTTTCCTTTGATGTAAAGTATACCTTATTTTGAAATATATAACACAGGATTCAGGTAGGGGCATTAGGATAATAAACCTTTCTGTGAAGCGGTCATCGTGCTGAAATAAAACAAGTTTAATGCAAGAGACATTCAAATCATGATATAAAATCTACTTAGTTGTGAAATTGACTTTTTGCTGTGTAAATACATCTACCTCTGTGAAAATATGAAACACTTTGAAAATTAAACTTGAGCTAATATTCGGGTGCACACCAATGGACTGACTTTTCTATATTTCTTCGCATAAATTTATATGAATTCATATGAATTAAAACTTGTACTCTATATTTTATACAATGATGTTTTTTATTAAAACGAAACTTTCTAGAAAGTGATGACGTGCTATAATTTGATTACGCAGAATGAAGTAGGAACACAGTATGTCAATGTACTCTATGGCTTTTAATGACGTCATCACTGATGACGTCATAAAAACTTGCGATCGTCAGCACCATGGCCACAACATATCCTGCTCAAGCATAATGACGCCAGATTTATGATATTTACAGCCTATATAAATGTCAGCATATTAAGGAGGCATGTGGTATTTATAGCTAAATAGTTATACATCACTCAAGAAAACGACGCATTGACTGATTTCTCCAGTGTTTCCGGTAAATTTCGCCGTAGAAAGCGTAGTGTAACACAATTCCGCAGAATACAGTACCTCTGCAGGATGTTCCAGTGTGAAAACAATAGATAAGATATAGCAATACAACGCACACGTAGTGAATTTCTGATGTACCGAGGAAGGTATATACTGTCGCATACCTACGTTTGCATTAAGGTGTCCTCGATAAAGTAGAAGACGGTAACTTTCCGGAATATCTGGTCTTATTTTCAATCACGCTGTTATTGGTATCGATTAGAATGTGATTTTTGTTAATGTCGTTTTATCAATATTGATTTTGAGATTAAATTGCTTGTGATCATTTTCATAGTTTTGTTAGTGTGCGTGTATATTAAGTCAGTGTGGCCGTATTCCATGACTGACATATACTGATCAATTATATTGTGTTGACATGCAGGGACTATACATATCAACAATCGGAACATGACAGTTACGCTGACACACTAATATCCCTGATTTAGCGACATTCATAAAAGTACATACGTCTTCCATAGATAACATACATTATCCATTGCTATAAATATACAGTATCGATATTCTGTTACATATTTCTGTGTATCATTTTTGTTGTTCGCAGGTCTTCAATGTTATTTTCATTCCTCAAGTCATTGAATAAATCCCACCTTTTTCTCACCATGATAACTTGTTGTTTGTACAATTTTCGGGATGGCAAGAGGAGGGCTATTGTTATCGGACTTTCAGTCTTAAATGTTTGCCACAACCTGCATGTCATGTTTTAATTCATTAGAACAGGATCTAGTGGTACATTTCAGAATACAAGCATCCTTTGAAATTACCATATGAAATATTGATGGGAAAATGTAGATTTTTATATTTCTATCGATCTATTTTAATATCCTAGATTTCAAAGTTCAGACTCTAATTATCACTGACGAGTCTTAGACAGCCGAAACAGTTGTATGATGCTGATTAATTAACTATTTGGCTCTAATCTATCGAACTTAAAATATAGTGCTTTTTTCTTATGTGTCGTTTGAACAGTGTTTAGGTCGCTGCCTTGTTGTAGGAAATTCCTAATTTATACAAAAGAAGATAATGATCTATAAATGTTTTATGATATTTTTCGATTTCTTGCTTTGATTATCACAAATAGATGAATTTCTTTATCGAAGGAACTTTTGTGAAAAAATTTAAGGAAATAAGGTTACTTAAGATATCAAGTTTATACACATGTTATTGAGTCTTTGATTATTGTTATGGTATAGATTCGTTTGTGATATAGTTAGTCTAAATCCAGATTTGTTTACTTACTCATACAGAAACTAATAACTCGTAGAAGGTGTATTTTCATGATGGGAATTAAATGTTTGAATATCCATTCCATAATTTATTCTTCATTAAGAAAGTGTTCGAACATAAATGGAACATACGTATAAAAATTGTATAAAAGACAAACAAGTGAATAGCACCTTTTCATACAAATTTAGAGCTAAATATGCTAGTGCCAATCAGTGGTTAAACTGCATCATACTGCAGATTTTCCTTCTAGGACTCGTCAGTGATGACAAGGGCCTCACTTTTGAAGCCAAGGAGGCTACTACGGAAATATTCAACATGATCGGAAGTAATCTCGATTTCGCGGTGCACTAACCCCGTACTATAATAAATTTCGTGATATTCATTTATCTGATAATTTTAAATGAACACGAGTACATGTGTGAATTTAGTCTTCAAGATTTGCCGTAACTTGCACGCCACATTTCAATTCATTATATTAGTGAGGGGCACTGTCAGTATCAATTTTTGTTGTGATTTTGATGATGTTTATGTTGACAAATATTCATTAGTCTTATTGAATTGTTATTTTTTCAGTTCTCGAGGACATTTAACGACAGGCGGCAGTCTACCCGTCTTCAGCCTGTACGAAGTAGGAGTTGGTCCCGATCATCTCAAACACGCGTGGTACCCAGACAGAGTTCATTCCGTCAAAGCAACAGGTTTCAGAGCCCCGTAAGTTCACTCGGTCAGAGTCGACAACAAAACAGCATCGATAATCTTAGCAATGCTATATTGTTGTCAGCCTTGTTGGGGATGGATATGCCTAGAGAACAACGAATGTCCAGTCAGAGGATGATTGTTTCGCGCCTTCTCGGTATTGACGCACCGTTACCACAGAACCAACCGACATTCTCTAGCTTCTCAAACAGAGGGTCATCCTCTTCGGTTTTATCTCCGAGTACTCAAGACAGCGGAACGCGCGGCAGTTTCATAAGCTCTCTTCCAGGCCACAATCTTATTGTTCAGTCGCCCTCTCAACCACAGCATCAACCTCTTGTTATAGAGGCTGGTGGACAGATACAAGTACAGGAAATTAAAAAACCGGACGGTCAGACACAAGTAGTGATAAACGCCGGACAAAACACTGCACCAAGCGTTCATGCCACAACTAAAACTGCTAGTACTGTACCAGCATTTTCTACAGCAAATCCTTACATTTTATCAGGAGAGGACCCACCAGAAAAGGAAACGCCACCATTACAGGATGTACAAGAATTAACGAAATTACTTAAGGCTATGGGAATTAATCCGTCTAAGGCAGCTGCCGTGGGTAGATGATCAGGGACGTAAACTCTCGCTGAAAATTATTAAATCTTTAAAAATACTGCTAATTATTGTTAAATGTTTTTACTTACAAATTTTTCTCATAGTTTCTTTGGTCTGGATAGGAAAGACAATAACATTCTTTCTTTGCTGTATTTACTAAGAATTAATGTGTAAGAAACATAATTTCACTTTCGTAAACAGACCCGGATATAGAATGTTTTCTGTTTTGTGGATTCTGTGCAGATTATTTCTACCTTTCATTTGATTTTCTGTAATTCTATAGAGTTACACTTTACAGATATTTACATCATAATAAGAATTCTCAAATTCCACTGAAAAAAACACAACATTGTTAATCTATTTCCCCTGATCATTTTATCCTCCAGCCTGGGTGATGCTTGTTTATAACGTAACAATGCATGCATCTGTTTGACCTTGTCTTTTTTTTTTTATACTTTTGAGACTTGTTTCTGTACTTGACAAACTGGGCTATCTGAGTGATGAAGTACATTCATAAATCGGGCTTTACTTACATACGCAAGCTTGGTTAAAAAGGGATTTCTTGTATTATTGAACAATGAATTAATTTCCGATATTTTCTCAATGAGAAAGTGAACTGACATGTACACGAGTGTGAATGAAAAAGGGTTATCGGGTGGAGAATTGAGAGTGAGTAAAAAATTGACGAGAGCTTAGGGATTAAGGATGGGTTAAAGCGATGTTGGGTGAAAAGGTGGATATCAGAGGGATGAAGGAATATGGATGAATGAAAGATGGACAGGCGGTAGGAAAATGAGAATGGGTGAAAAACGATGTTGGATGAAAGCGGCACTAGGATAGTTGAAAGAAGGACCTAGATTGTGCGGAGCATAACGAGTTCAGGGCATGAGAATGGGTTAAAGATATAACGAGGTTGGAGGGGCAGAGGTGTGGGTGAAAGGGACATGGAGTGGGGTTGGGGTTGTATAATAATGTGTGAAACAGAAAAATGAGGTTTACGAAGCTTGATAGAGGGTGAAAGAGGGACGTTAATTGGGCGAAAAATGTTGGTGGATGACAAAGAGTGTGGAATGAGAATGGCACGAGGAAAGTGAACAGGAGACTGTATTGTACACGCACATGGTGGGTGAAAGATGGGACTGCTGTGAGGGCATTATGTACGAGAAGAATAAATAGGGAGAATTTTAAGGGATGAAGGGGATATATTGTATTGTTATTAGGGTTTTCGACCTCATCTTAAAGCAGTTAATATGTCTTACTGTTTGTTTTAGCAAAAGTGAGTATGATAATGTTATTTATTGTTTTGGTATGTTTGTGTCGATTGTTGTCAATTTCCTGTCTATGTAGCGTACACATTCGTTAACAAGTTATTCGACTCGGATGTATCACTGTTTCCAAATACATTCGAATCTTATATTCCCTTGTTTGCAAAATATTTTCTCGTGTTAAAGTATGATGTTTTTTGTATAGAATATTAAAACCCGTAGTTTTATTGAGCATTTTGTGGTTTTATCAAATATGCAGTGCTTGTACTTACTATTCTGTACCTGTACAAAACATTATTTGTTGATATGATTCTAATAAAATATTAATTGTTTACTGTTAGTTAATTGTTCTTTCCAATAGAAACAAAATTTCAAAAAGTGTGGTTATATTTTACAAGTTGTTGAAAAAGCCAGTCGGAAATACGACAACAATAAAGAATATATCGTCATAGTAACGAAATCACAATTCAAACACCAGTTCTATGAAACTAGGGCAAACTAAAAATTTAATTTCAGTAAATTAATTACGAGAAAAATAACTTAAATTCGAGCATAAGTATAAAAAAACAATTCCATTATCTCAGAAATTCCTGTGTCAATCGGTATTATAGTTTACATATTCAGATTTATATCTAAAATTTGGTCTGATGTATATTTAGAATACCTTTTTTTATTGAATGGTGTTCTTTGATATTTTTTGGAACAAAATCAAGTGATTTATATAAGAAAACCTCTGGCAATTTAGATAATATATTAGATATATGTTACATTACACGTTGTCAACGTGTTTGAGTAACATGACATAATGGGGATGATCATGGTGATTGTACCAGTGACTACAATAAATCAAGTCTAGAATTTATACGCGTGCCACACCAGCAAAAATGTTGAGTTGTTGGTGTACTAAAATATACATGGGCTGTTTTCGCAGGTATGGTCTTTATGTAGGAAACATGTTAGATATATGTTACATTACATGTTTTCAACGTATTGGAATAACATGACCTAATTCGTTTATGGTGGAGTGTTCTCTGCATTGCCTGTTTTGATAAAGTTTGATATCTACCGTATAATGATATATACTCTGTGGTAAAATTTTGTGTTTTACAAAAAATACACATTTTCGTCGACACTTCATTTCAGAGACATATTCCTTATTTTAAAATCTACTAAACTTTCTGTTGAATGTTATTTATGTATCATTTCATGAACATAACAAACCATGAATTAACAATATCCTCGATATCTCGACAAATAAAACCTCCAGGGAATTAGGGATTTTACAGTTTTCACTGTTTTAAAGGCATGACAGTAATTTGAGGAACGTACATTTACTAACATTAAACGTATTCCGAGATAAAAGTGTAAGCTACTGTCCTAGTCTTGGTAAAAACTTGTAGGTAGGGCAAAATGCCAGATATGCACAATACATTTACAGAAAGTACAGAATTTACTGTCAAACTATCACAAGGCATTATTGATGTTTGAAGAATCAAATATGATAAATTTGAAATATTAAAAAAAATATTTCACCAAATGTACACTATATGAACATGGCCTACTCATTTTGTCTAAACATATCATTATACTAGATAATACAACTCTGCTTGTATTTGTCATAAGCGACAGAAACGAATTTATAACTTGTCGCTCATGAAAATAAAAATGATATTCTAAGTCCAACACCGGCACCGTCTTCTCATTTGTTAGGCCTTTTGGTGTGACAGGAAGAGAGCTGAATCAAGGTCACAACAAAAATATACACTGGTCAGTCCATGGTCAGTGATGTCCGGCTCACAGTTGTCAAGTGTATAAGGAAACACAAAACGTCCGTATAAATCATGTGATACAACGGTCAGAAATGTCACTCCTGACGTGTCTCATTCATTAACACTTCTTGTGTTTACGGCCGTGTGAACTACATTACAACTTAAGCACTATATAGACGTTAAAGTGTTGGAACATGTGATGATTTATTTAGCAACGGACACAGTAAAAGTCGAATGCATTTCTCATATGTATATAATACGAGGCTCAAGAGGGTTTTACGAGAGTCACAGGAGAGAAAAGTATCTTTTAAGACAAATTTAGAAATAGATAACAAATGATAAGTAATAAGTATATCTGCAGTTATTTAAGTTCCAATCACTCACAAATTAACAAGTAACCTATCAAGTCCTTGATAAATACTTTTATTATAATATGCAGTATCTGATCTAGCGTAGACCGGAAATAATGGGTAAAATCTAATTTACATATTTTAATAACTCATTTAAATGTATTGTACATTTTGGACATAGTGACATTTAAATATTCCATTTTGAGACAACGACACACCCACCGTCCTCCCTTATGTATATTTCTCATATTGTTTTTCCTGAAGTCGTGTATGTTGGTGTTGAGTCATGAGCATACATGGTGCTGTTCCACTTAAATTTCAATGCAATGAATAAAAGCAACATATTGAGAGGTATTCAAGTTAAAAAACAACTACGTAGCAATATTGTTGCAAATAAATGAAAGGAAAATTAAAGCTGAAACATGGGAAGATTTTGAAGCTATTGGGTCCTGGTGTAGCGGATCTGTTTTACGTTACCTTTCTCAAGGTACACAATGATATCATCTAATATTAATTAAAAGCAAAAAGTAGAACGGGTATGGAAACCGAATTTGATTGTCACAATTGACAAAATGTAATACTCGACATCGCTTTGCTGTCTGATTTCATTAGGATTCTTAAGATAGTGAATTTTGAAATGAATTGTTTGAAGCACCACGTATAAGATTTTTTCCTGTGGTAAATATTGTATACAAAAGCAGGATTTCAACACGTCTTCAAAACGAAGCCAAGTGTGATTTTCCTGGCAAGCATGGGTTGTCACATGAACAAAGCTCCCGAAAATGGTGTTCTTTTCGTCCCTGTATTCCTAAGAATTCTGACATGCCAGGGCCGTTACGGTCTGCTGAATTTCGATACTCTCATGAGGTTTTTTGTGATGGCTTGTAAAGCTTGCTTTTAGTCTGTGGTATTTATCAGTTTATTTCCGTTCTTTCTGTGCACGATGTTAATCTGTATGCGTGGTTCCAACAAGCTTTTAAATCCGTTCATAGATTTTTTAATTAGTTAGCGTGAATTGCATCCTGTCGATATATGGTATGATCTATTGACACTGAGTATGGATGTTGTTCACATTATTTAATATAGACATACTTAATATAACCTAGAAAATATGATGACATCACGACAGTATTTGTTCCTATACTGAGGACATTCTATTTTTGTATTTGTGTACATCAGAAAAGTCGAATATTTCCATAATATCAAACCCTGTAACCCAAGCGCCACGCCCCCTACACACACACGCACGAACGCACTCACGCACACCACCTACACCACCACCACCACCACACACACATCTAACCCCCATCCACAAACATACATATATACATATATAGGAATAACGTTAAAAAAAATACAGACGGACGGACAGACGGACCACGGAACGAGTTCAATAGCCAAACATCTGATGTTAGTGGGCTAACCCATCCTAAATAATAACCACTGCAAGAAAGCGGAAATTCATGGCTGTAGACCAAACCCGGTATTTAATAACGTTCAACAATTTCAAAGAAGTAAATCCAAGCCATCAGAATCATTGTGATGATTCAGTTGAAAATATGTGTGAACGCAGAGTTAGAATATTGTACGCCTTAAACAATATCAGTTTCCAGTTTTGTCCATTCTATATTCTTTGAAACAACAAAACGCCGGAGAAGTAGGACCATGAATACTTCATTACATTGCCTGTGGAATGCACAGTTGTAGATTCTATCCAGACATTGTCCTGAGCTTCCAGTTCTATCAGGGATGACGTTGAACTACTCCCGGTGTGGTTTTGATTGCCAACAAATAGACGCCCAAAGTCGTGTCCATTCTTCACCAGGTAAAACTGTGCATACTTGCCTAGATCCACGACCATTGTCAAATGAAACATGTAAGTCCCAGGTATTAAACAGGTAAACACACCTGTCTGATGGTTGTAGGCATCTCCAAGGTTAAAATCGACTGCGTGAAACTTAATCGTCTGACTGTTACCAATGGTAAGTTGTGAGTTGTCTAACTTAGCTTGAAAGGCGACTTGTGGTGCATGTTCATCTGGAATTGAAATAAAAGAAAAATTAACCAGGGAAACATTTGATATCTTATTTACTGAACAATATAATATTTAAAAAAGAATATAAAGTCTCAATATCCATTGCACCCTTCTTCGTGTTGTATCTTACCAGCATGACTTGTTTACCCTGGTAACTGACCGCTTTACCATTCATTCGTATGCTTTTGGTGGCGCATCATAATTTTAATAAACATATTCTTTAAATGTACTCGAATCTGCCTTTTTAAGATAGCAGTCCTTTTTGCCTGTCCATACTGCCACCACAGACCATAACAGGGTTATCATCATATCACTTGTATATCACACATTCATTAAGCAATAAACACGGGTCTATCTGCGCCTTACTAAATATACAATTCACATGAATGATGAAGGCGAAGATATTGGTAATAATATCATATTGTATCAACCAAGACTTACATGTTGTCTGTCTCTGATTAAGCTGAAGACGCTTACTCTTCCGCGACACCTGATCTTATTGTCCTTGTGCTTTTTCAGGAGTCGTGTAAACCTATCTCTGGTTTATATCAGTGCAGATTTTGAAAGTCACTACTGTGGATTTGTTGATACTTTGACATTTTTTAAAATTTTCTTTTTAATATTTTTTATTTTTTTTTGTGAAAATCACAGCTCAGATATGCTGATATATTTAGAACAATAAGCTCAGATACATATTCTAATTACCTTGTATATTTAACTACATTTTCTCTCCTTACCAGCAAGATGATAACGATAGTAGGCTTCTGTGTAAAAATGGAATTGTAGCTGAAGGAGGATCACTGAAGCTTTCAGATAAAAAACGATTCAGATATATCAAACTACACGTACAATCAATATACTCAATTCTATTGTAAATATGGTACGATTTAATCGAACTGAAAATCAATAACACGATAAACCGAGGACAAATATTAGGAATTAGGAATATTAGAACAGGTGTTATCGAAGGAAAAGGAGGGGGCTTGAAAACAAAACAAACACCAATAAGGACTTAAAAGATTTACTGAATGAGCGCTTTGAAGATATAAACTACTAGTACTAGAAATGTAGATTACTTCAATTTTCGTGTCATTGATCATAAATTCATATCATTGAAACTATTGGTTTGATATAAAGGCATTAAACCTGCGTGATATTTATGCTGTGAAATACGATTAAAATAATCAATTATATGTAAAATTCAAGTTTGTGTAGCCACTTCTAAATTAACTATTAATATATTAACTGAATTAAACAAACGCTCATTGTAACCTCGATTTACCTCCCTTGTCATGATAACTGTTTTTGGCTTTGACAGAATTTAGCCACATATAAATCACAATTTCAGTTTGGTCAAGTAGTTGTAAACTTCCTGTAGATAAACAAGTTCGTGTAGGAGTCTTTTTTGACCTTATAAAAGAAATACTTCACTTGGGTAGTCTACGATTTAAAAAAGTGAAAATTCAGATAGATAATGTTCCTGTTTTAAGAGTTGGTAAAATGAAAATCACATTACTACAATATTTCATCTTCATTAAATGGAGTCCTTCACTTTAAGGTAAATGACGTCATAATGATAATCTAAGAGTGCGAAGTATATTACACTAATCGGGGAAAAAGATTCCATTGATAGAGATAGAATAATGTATAAGAGGCAATTACAAAAAAAGAAACAAAACAAAAACAAAAACAAAACAAAATAACAAAAACAAAAAAACAAAAAAGAAAAAAAACAAGGAAATTACAACCACAGAACATGATCATAATCCAAACTCAAATTCAATGAAACTATGGCAAAATAAGACCAGGTGTTGCGGAAGATTAAACGTCCCCTGTTTGAACAACGACACATGTCATGTAAATCTTGGTCAGTCCAAGTAAGTAATGTAACGCTCTCAAACGAGAACAATTTATACAACAATGTAACCTACAGGCACACTGATCGACATCAAACAAATAGATTATTTCTCAATGAGATCACTATGACGACCGTGAATCTTCCCCATAATTAACCACAAACATAGAACTACATACGGATTGGAGCCACTCTGGTTTTCCTTCGTTTGTTGTGTGTGACATTTGATTCTATTTCAGAGGTACTTTGTAAGGTGTTTGGCGAAGTCAGATCATTTGTAGGCAACGAGCGAATCGTCTGTTGTCCTAACTGAGCTTTTGTCTTCAAAACAGAAACTTCTGTTCTCAGGGTCACAAGGTCCGTTCTTAAAGCAGAATTCTCCTTTTCCAACTTTTCAAATTGAATGCGAAATTCATTCCGAATTTCCTGTACATGGTTGCGCACTGTTTCGTCTATATTGGATAAACAGTTATCACTTTGCTTCAGGCTATTTCCGTACGCCGTATGTACAACAGCGTACAGAAGTAATACAACTATCGCCATTTTGCAATGTTTTGTCTTTAAGTGTGGTGTTATCTGCATATCCTTATCATAGCCCTTCTACATGTTCCAAATTCTACTCTTATCTCAGTTACTCCTAACCAAATTTAACCACATTGTTTCGAAGTGGAAAAGCCACAGACCATTCTGTTATTTACACTTGAGTTGGAAACCCCATTATTTTGAGAGTATATTAAATATAGATATTATTTATAATAATATAATAATGAAAGTATGGATTTTGAGATATTTAAAAGATTCCTCTCGTCTGAATCGCTTCTGTTTACATAAAATGATATTCTTGACAATTTATACCATGACACCCGTCCTCACGTGACCATGACTGTTGCGAGGTCTCCGTAAAAATAACGAAATCTTGATTTAGAACACGGCGTGGAAGGACAAAGCACGGCAGGTGCTTCACCATAAATCTAACTCACTGATACTTCATGTTTATTAATTCATGATTTATCTATAGATAAAATTATATAAATATATTTATGAATATCTGCGCGTTGGTTTGTTTACAAACTGATGCCTCTGTGTGAATTGAAAAAAAATATTCGAGATGCTTGGGTTATTGTTTTAAATCCACTGGTCAGGGAAGATAATGTACAGACGTACCAGTTTGAATGATTGAGGAATCCGGAGTTCCCGTTGATAAAAATCCCACCAGCACCGACGAGAGCCTCTCGTATTGACTCGAACCCGCGACCCAGAGGTGTTGGGCTAGTAGTAAAGATTGTCAAACACCTTAACCACTCAACCACCAGGATATACCATCCTAAATTTCAATATGGTTACAAGTCATGGCGGTCTATTAATCGAGGTAAAACGTGTCTTAACTCTATGTTGATGTTCTAGAATGATGTGGATTGTCATTTGCTGGTATTGTTAACAATTAAAACATGTAGTTTTACCTACATATGTGTGTCTGTATCCGTTGTGCTGTTTTCTGCTTTTGTTAGGGAATGCTGTCATTATTGTTGTAAACTGGAGTGGTGTAAATATTTTGGTTAGTAAGTTATCGTATCTGGCATTTTTGTATTGCCTGGAAGTCTCACGATAAACAAGGTTAAAATATGGATAAAAGCGAGGTAGAGACCTTCCGGGTGAAAACTATCAGAAACCCTCGGTACTGTACATAAACCATAATGTATAATTTATTATGTACTTTATGTATAAGCGATCACGGTTGTAATTATGCAAACTGTTGTCCAGGAATTTATCGTAACACATTTATCTCGTTATCTGTCGCATTTTTCAATTTAACTGTCGCATTTATCAGGTTAACTGTCGCATTTATCAATTTAACTGTCGCATTTATCATGTTAACTGTCGCATTTATCTCTTTAACTATCACATTTATCTCCTTAAACATTTATGAGGTTAACTGTCGCATTATCTGGTTAAATATTTGCATTTATCTCTTTAATTGTGGTATTTGTGGGTTTTTTTATTATCTTAAATGAAGCTAGAAGTAATACAATGTCAATACATAGACGTGATACTGTATCGTACATTTTTGGTTTAGTATACAATCAGATTTAAACATATCGGTGTCTCGTTTTCAGATAATGTCACGTTCTTTAAATTTGGAACGGGATAGTCAGAACATAAGTAACCAGGATGTAATCATGATGAAGTACAACGAAATAATTATTTCAAAAATGAAAAAAAGGGATAATACTTGTGGTACTTGACAGTCTGAAAACCATCAGAGTGATGTGTTTTACGTAGGAGTTCCAGTTCTAAATTTAAAGTGTAAATATCATCCCTAAAATTCAATTGGTTTTGTGAATCAAGGAAGATTTCCTTATGTAGTATTGATTCAAACCGACATTGATGTTAAATATTACTTCATTTTCCATCTCACACCGGATTATTTCCACGAACAGGATAATTCACTGCTAGTAGCAGAGATTTCGCTTCGGAGACAATGACGTCACTGCTCTGTATTCTATATAACGACAATTACTAAGCAACGATAACACCATATATGGGTAAATATATGAATGTAGGTAGAGTTAAATAATTTTGAGTTATATGTCCACAATTGTCAAATGTGGCATTCTAAAGGAAATGGAATTATAAAATTGTTTTGTTTTGGTTTTTTTTGGTTTTTTTTTACGGGAAGGAAACTGGTACGTTTGTCAGAGATGGAAAATATCTTAAATTATACAGAAAATATATTGACGTTAAGTATCCTCAGATATATACTATTGTCTAAAATTATATATTACCAAACACACAAGGATTTCTGAATTTATATTGTAACCGGCTATTATAACAGCTATATCGAATCCGAGACGTCGAGGTTCGGTTGATGTTCCCATGGCAACGGTAATGAGCTGGGTATCATTTATTGTTAATTACACATCTTTGTGGTTGCTTAATATCTTCTAATTGGTTTGTAGATATCTATATCAAGTGATATAATCGGATGTGTGCAGTAAAACAGTGGATGTGTTACCTGATATCAGTGGAGGTCCTTGAATGTAAATACTATATGTCATTCCAACCAGACCTTCTCACCTAGGGTGTTTCTATCTTTACCCGGATTATTGACAAATCGATTATTTCTGCGCAAAAGAAAAATGTAGGTAGATAAAAACGTATGTAACGAAAGACAGGCCATGTGTTTACCTGTGTAATTTTGTTTACATGTTTCCAGGTCAATGTCGAGGTGAAATAGCACATCACGTGATTCATGTAAACAGTTTCTAACACCGAAACTTGCACGATTTCCCATAAACAGAGAGAGAGAGAGAGAGAGAGAGAGAGAGAGAGAGAGAGAGAGAGAGAGAGAGAGAGAGAGAGAGAGAGAGAGAGAGAGAGAGAGAGTAGGGGGGAGAGAGAGAGAGAGAGAGAGAGAGAGAGAGAGAGAGAGAGAGAGAGAGAGAGAGAGAGAGAGAGAGAGAGAGAGAGAGAGAGAGAGAGAGAGAGAGAGCATTGTGTGTATTACAAATATCATTTTCCTGATAATCACGATAACTCTGGAGAGTCAATTTATGTAAACATGGAAAATACCCAGGAGATGTCATTTAAGTGATGTTCTTCCTATCAACCGTTGAATGTCCCAATGTAATATGTTCGCGATAATATTAACTCCGTCCTGGCCTCACCAGTAAATAAAGGGAAAACAGTCCTCTCAGAAATTGTGCTCAGTAGATGAATTCCTAAATCACCTCGCAACAATAATTTTAGGCCTGGGGATCTACATTAGGTCAGCGGGTAGGAGAGAAATACGTGCACAGATATTGAATATATATATATATGACTGCAAACTGCGTGGCTCAAGTTATTTTAACTCTGGAAAACAGAGGTAGAAGATGTTTCATCAGGTACTGATTCTTGTGTTGTTTTCCTTCCCTGTGTTAAGTGAAGCCTTGTCTGATGATGACAGATTGGAACAGCGCTTAACTGTTCTTGAAACAGCATTTCAATCAGACATTCAAACTCGCGAAAAAGAGAATTCTTTATTGAAATCTGAACTAGAATCTTTAAAATCGGAAGTCAATTTCCTTAAATATAGATATCAAGGTAATGGAAATGTTTCTTTGGCCGACGAGACAGCATCAGATGATGTCAGCCGACAAAAGGTTGCATCACGTGACACTAGGAAAAGTCACAAGACAAACAAAGCGTCGACATCATGTAAGTCTATTCCTAAAGATGAGTCTGAGTGAAACTGCATTTCTTTGTGCGATATGAACTGACATCATTTACTTGAACTGACTAAGATTTACAAGACGTTTATATTACTTAAAACACCTAGTCTGATTTTAATTAACCTGTTCATTGCTCTCTATGCATCTCTTTAATTTGAGCACTTTTCGCTCCAGTTTCAATATTTTTGAGTTTTGAATTATGATTTTGATGAAATGTCGCATTTTGTTCAAATTTATGTCATCATTTTTAAAGCTATATGACGTAATTATATATTTTGTTTTCCTGTGTTGATAGATGCCCACTCCGAGGTAGCATTCCAGGCTATGTTGGAACACAATATCGGTTCCCTTGGAGACGACGAAACCATCAAATTCACAAAAGCTGACCTGAATTTGGGTAACGATTACAACGTTAACACCGGGATGTTTACATGTTCCGTTCCGGGCCTGTATGTGTTCCATACAAATATTGTAAATTATGATGGTAAATCTGTAGAACTGCACTTTTTAAAAAAATGGCCACATGTTTGGACGTGTGTATCTTGGAGATGAAGACAGCTTTCGAAGTGACAGCGCCTCGTTCTCGGTTCTGGTACAATTAGAAGTATCCGATAGAGTGTGGATATCATCCAACACTAACCACGACTCCGGGGAAGTTCTTAGACCTGGTTATTGTTTTTTCACTGGCTACCTATTGTTTCCTGATTCTGTTTGAATTTCATCATTTACAATGTAACAATGAACAATTAAAAGGGCGTACCAAGAATCCGGGAGAGTTGATTTTTCATTGTGTCTTTTTTTATAAATTCTTTATCAGTTGTGTCTGTAACACAATCATAGCAAGAGTAAGACCTTGCTAATATCTGATTATACAACAAACCAATAACACAGCAGGGATATGTCAGATACATTGTTAAGTAGTGAAGTAAACATGTCTCTAGCCTTCCATCAAGGTGACATGGGTTCGAATCCCGGATCGGAAATGAAACTGTGTGAGTCAGGTGCCCAGTTTGAATTTTCTTCTTGTACTGCGTCTCCTAAAATAGCATTAATGACACAAGGATTACAGTGTAGAAACTGCTGTATCAATTTTAAAGTTCAGATTTACGTCAATATACCTTCATCATTAATTGCAATTATATATCTAAAAGTTATTTATGTAATGTACAGTTCTTCTGAAGACATTTTATCAGTATATATTCACTTCTTGAACAATTTAACGCAATAATGAATTCATTTCGTTCATCCATGATAATTACTCTTTAAGCAGTATATAGAGAGTGGAATAGTATCAGAGGACTGCTAAACGTAAGCGCTAAATACGTACCTAGT